ATAACTCCTCATATACCTTCTCTGATATAAATTCGTTGCTACGCAACTTCATTATATCTTCCCTTCGCCTAAAGGCGAGGGATTTTATATCCCCGAAGGGGACATTAAACATAAAATTGAGGAGGCAAGTATTATTGCAATATTTTAGTGTATGCCTCCTTAGTATTTTATAGACCAATTGATTCGAATTATCGATGTAAAGTTGCCCCTCGCTTCCCAAGTAGTACTAGGCTAGGCTTCGTTCTGCTACCTTAGCTATTAAAAATAATTAGGACTGTATACCTTCAATTAGAATATGTAATAATTTTTTCACTTATACCCCTTGTAAAAGTCATTATAAAACACTATATCAAAATTTATCTATTTAAAGTAAATTTGTTTAAATTGGGTTTAGGAGTATATATGGGAAAAGTAATAGGTATAGATTTAGGAACAACAAATTCCTGCGTCGCAGTAATGGAAGGACAAAGACCAAAAGTTATAGAAAACGCTGAAGGTGTGAGAACCACTCCTTCAATGGTAGGATTTAGTAATGCTGGAGAAAAATTAATTGGCGAGGCTGCAAAACGTCAAGCTGTTACTAATGCGAAAAACACTTTTTATGGTACTAAACGTCTAATCGGTAGACGCTTTACTGATCCTATGGTGAGAAAAGATCAAGGTATAGTACCGTTTAACATAGTAGAAGCTAATAATAAGGATGCTTGGCTTGAGGCTAAAGGAGAAAAATATTCTCCAAGTCAAATTAGCGCTTATATTCTCCAGAAAATGAAGGAGACAGCAGAAAATTATCTCGGTGAGAAGGTAACGAAAGCGGTAATTACAGTGCCTGCATATTTTAATGATGCTCAACGTCAAGCAACAAAAGACGCAGGAAAAATTGCTGGTTTAGAAGTTTTAAGAATAATTAATGAACCAACAGCCGCAGCTTTAGCATATGGTTTTGACAAAACTGATAGTAAAATAATTGCCGTTTATGACCTGGGTGGTGGTACATTTGACATATCTATTCTAGAAATA